AAATCCTCAACTCATCAGAAATAAGTATGTAAATAAGAATGGCCTGACGAGGCTAATCAGTAAGCTCTTTGAATAATTTTTGTATTTTCTACGTATTTGAATAAGTAATAAAAGTTAATAACTATTAATTATGCATGTTTTGTGTAAATTGTAGAAAACGCTTGTCAAACGCTTTACGATATAATCAATTAGCACGATTTATGTTGCACTTGCTGCCACAAAGCTTGCCACCCGGCGGCAGTTCCGCTCCATCCAGCTGCGGCAGCAACTCTGCCTGGACTAGCCACGAGCGTGACTCATCTATGAGATGTACAGCATCCATGGGCAAACAGAGAGTTCGTGCTAAACGAGACCTTCTGCAGTTTGGGTTGACGCATTGGAACCTGCGACTCAGTTGAGATGAACATAAAAAATAAAAAATAAAAAAACAAGAAACAAAAAATAAGTAGAATTAACGGCTTTATTTGCTAGCCGACAGCCTTATACCCTAAGAGCTTTGAAGAGCTTTTCAATGCTCTAATCTATGGTAGTCTTTAAAATATATGTAAGGCAGAGTTTTAAAAACTCATAATTGCTTAGATTAGAAAGTCTGATAAACTTTCCATAAAACACAAATAACTTTGCTATAGTATACAATATAGAAATCGAATGTTGATAAGATTACGCATATCATAAATTCGTGCATGACAAAATTCATGTTAAGAATTTCGATAAAAAAAAAACCTGCTTTATAAAAGACTGCCTATATTATAATATATGACAACACTATATAAAAATTCATGAGTGAACAGTTTATAATCTGATCTAAAAGTTATATTTAGAAAACCCTAGTTCTTAATCTAAACTCTTATTTGATTGTAAGATACTACACACTCTAAAATAAATTGAAAAAAAAGGTTATATAATATAATATTATATAATTATAGTCGCATTACACTCTGCCTGGCAAAATCACAATGCTCTTCGTAAGAGTAGGGCAAATCACACAAAAAAATAGGAAAATACTCGCATGTAAAACCAAAGTTCGACGTAATTATAAAAAAAAAAAAAAAAGGGTGCGTAGAACGGCAGTGGAGTTCAGTGGGCTTTTGTGTGTACTTGAGCTGTGAATTCCAACAACCACAGTAAAAACCGAATAAAAATAACGAGCTAATAAAAGTGCCACAGCAACAGGTGTGTGTGAGTGTGCGAGTGAGTGTCTGAGTGTATGAGTGTGTGAGTGTGTGCGCTGTAAGGGCAGAGTTGGCACATTAAAATTGTTGCGGCTGATGACGTGTCGACATCGTTGCTATCAATGAACAATGAGTATTAATTTTCATAAATAATCACATTAAAAATATTACTTATAAGATTTGATTATTTGTGTTGTTTTTGCTGTTGTGGCTTTTGCATGGGTTATCTAGACAGACGCTTGAGTCATCTTCAACATGGTTAAAAACGTATTATTGAAGACGGAAATGAATGCCAGGTGAAAAATAAAAAAATAAAAAAAATAGAAATAACAAAATTGTATACAAATACGCAAATAAAAAACGTTATGCATGGAGCTAAACATCAGCCAAAGAATAAATTAAATTTATTTATAAGACCCAGGCACAGGCGCTGGCCTAACACCGGGCAGGTGTGGAGCCGAGTGGCGAGGGGTGGGGGTCTAGGCAGGCAGAAAATTCTTATGTGGAAGAAGAATCTTTACACATCAACATCAGCATCAACGCAGCTGTGTTTAAATTTAAACACTGAGCTCAGCGATTGTGCTTAGGCCAGAATCATAACCCGAAGATAGCTGCCAAATGCCTTATCAGCTTACGACTGTTTCCATAATGCGGGGCTTACTTTCATACCGAGCATGGTCGTAGTAGCTGGAACTGGAACTGGTCTCAAATTACTGCAAAGCGAACAGTGTACGATTTTCAATATACCCTGTACAGCCAGCCATAGGGTATAATCAAATTGGACAACAAATTTCTGATACCATAAATAATGGCCTAAACTAAAACTGAAACTGCCTTGTTCGCACTGCTGAAGATTACAAATTTAGATTATCGACTCTCACAATTCACCCTTAATTTATGTTTCTTTAAAGTCGATTTATATCGATACATTGAACCTCAAAGACAGACACAGTTGAGTCTTGCTGTTTACAGGGTATCTGCTGATCGATTCCCCCCTATTCAGGCCAATTGTTTATTTTTAACTCCTTTTTCTGATTATTATTTTTTGTTTTCCAACAATTTGGCAAACAAAGCATTTGCGACGCGACCAAAACATGATAAATGATGCGCAGTTGTGCAGTTACCCAAAAAATAGTTGTTTTACGTATGTTTTAATAAAGCTTAACTAATTAAACACTCAGACACACGCAGACCCACACAGGGGGGTAAATTTAAGGTAGTACAGCTGTGCATGCTACTAGTATATAATATAATAAATTTATTAAATTTGTAGTTTAGGTTATAAAAAACATATTAATTAAACAAATATTGCATCGAAATTGGTAATTGAGGTTTCTGAACTTATCGAAGGACGGAAATAGAATACCCAAAAGCTCAGCACATCAACTCTGATGAGCTGTAGATTATATTTATAGAGATGTCTGAATCTTAATCTTCGCAGCTCAGGTTGAGGGAGAAGCACGGATTTGACTAATGCGCCGTTAGATTGCTCAGGCAAGGCGAATTGTTCTTGAACAGATCCGTCAGGGTAAACAAATTGAGATAGGTGGATAGAAAGGTGGCTAGCACACCAAAAATTAGGACGGCCATGGTGCAGGAGATGTCGCATTCCAAGCGATTCAGCAGACGCGCCACACGCAGCCAGCAGCCCGGTGGTGAATGCGGTTTCTTGGATACCAGCAACGGCTCCATTTCCAGCTCAACGGGAGCATAGTTAAGATCCAGAGGCAGGCTGCCATAGCTGGCCTCGGCGGCAATGCGCTGATGCACACGTTCCATGCGCCGAATGCGCCGATACAGCAGGGGAGGCAGTATGAAAACCAATGGGCCAGTGATGGTGCCGCCGATCACATTCATGAGCGCATCAAAGCTGGGCACAAACTCCGCCACGAGCACCTCCAGAGCCAGGACACAGGACCGAATGAGAATGCGCTTGCAGCACAGAGCTAAGTGAGAAGGGTGACAAATACACACACATACATATATATAGAGGGGCCTTGGAGACTAGACGCAGACTTACTCTCGGGCAACTTGAAGAAGTTCTCGATCTGCATAAACATAGCCGAGCTGGCCACCGTCACCGAGAAGCACAGCTGCAGCGACATCAGTATGAGCATCACAAAGAAGGGCACACTGGTGGGCAGCGAGAGCAGCAGATTACTCGAAATCATGGAGCCGAACTTGTAGGCAGCTATGCCGGCGCCCACAATGGCCACGCTGCAAGTGACTGAACAGAAATTGATATACTCGCCTTTCGGCATTCACATTACATAAGAGCAAACTCCACTTACTGGCAATGCCACTGAGCGCCGCCCAGGACACTTGAGACTTGCGCTTCATGTCTATCTGCAGGGTCAGCAGCACGGGATGTATGTCGAACTGGAAGGCCAAAATGCTGTAGCTGCTCAGGATGGTCAGAAAACCAGGTAGCTCTGTGTCAAAAATACAGCCAAAATATACAAAATTATATACCAGATAAAACTAGTTAACAAGCCTTGTTTACATTTCAGACTTGTTTACATTGTTTACATTATTATGTCACAAACAAGAGTCTCGCTTAATTAGACAACGTGGAATGTATGCAAGAAAATGTAAACACTCTATATCTATAGGTCTTCCTATAAAATTTAGCGTAGCTTACGCACCCAGCGAGACTCCTTGAAAGGGCGTTCCAATGGCCGGTGCATCGAGCAGGCAATACCAAAGCAACCCAACAATTACTATCATGACGCAAACGGCTGTAATGGCCAGGCCTCTGAAATATAGAAATATATATGCATATATATATATATGGCCAGATGTGTTAGACTATCCTAATCATAAAGATGATATTCGCTAAAAATAATTTCAAGCACAAAACATTAACTAACCGCATGTGCTTGGGGCTGCCTATCCACATGAGTGGACAGATGACCAGGCCCACAATAATGGCCCAGTAGCAGTAGGAGAAATTATAGAGGCCGGCGCTCATGCGTAGAACAACCGCCTCCAGGTTCTCGGCTGCCATGACAATGCTGGGCACGGCCAGGGCAAAGATGCTCAGGTCCAGTAGGATGGATACCAAGAGGCTGACGCAGGGTCCATAGGCCAGTTCGGCGAGTGCAGCGTAAGGATAGTTGCGTTTCTGCAGTATCGAGGGATCCAGATACTCGGCCATGGTCCAGCATTGTGATAGCAGAAAGGATGTGTATATCTGCAGGAAGATGATGGATAGAACGAGCAACACTCCAAAGTAGCCCAGCCGAACCAGCAGCGCGGGCAGTGTCAGAAACGGAAAGATGCCAAACAAGTCGACCACGTAGAGAATGGCAATGAACAGGGAAAGGCTCTCGGGCTCATCCTCGTGGGCGCGAAAGTGCGGCAAGGCGCTGAACCGCGAGCGTCTCAGAAACGGCAGCTGATCATGTTGATTCGAGGGTGCCAATAGTACGGACGTACGCCGCTTGGGCAGGGCAAAGGACGGAGCACGCGACGGACGTGGTGCACGCTTGACATTCGAACGCCGAAAGAAAAACATTCACGCCAGTTACGTCGAACCAAACGCGACGACTGAAAGAGCGCAACTGATGGTGGTTCTAAGCACCACCAAGAACCAGAGAGTGGCACTCAGTTGGCTTGCAACAGTTTGTCATTCGATATGACAACAAGCGAGCGATGGCTGCAGCTGGGAAGCCCTGCCGCTGCAAGGTCAATGCACGTTGCAAGTTCAATGCCTTCCAGTTTGTTAGACTGACCCAAAGATAGATGCGAATGGCAAACGCCTCTAAATAGGATATATTTAACGTTTTACCAGTACATATCTGATAAACATATATGTGTGTACAATGTGATATCTACAACAACGATAAAACATTGTTCATTCCTAGTTATCCTGGATAGGTATCCAGCCTGTATAACTCCGTAGTTTTTGGTATTCGAACTCCTCAGACCTGCTGCACTTTGGCTATCTTCTGTTTCTTGGGCTGCGATTGCTAAAAATTAAGCACTTTGTATTAACTCTTGAGATGCCCTAGCTGTTCTCTACTCACCTCCAAGCCATCGATGGTGTCCTTGCTCTGCACTGTCATAACCTGCACCGCCTGACCGGGACCAGGGCGACTCAGCAGCAGCTTGGTGCTGGTGCGCGACGATTCGCCGCAGCAAAATACACGCGCTGTCTGCTGCCTGAGCGGACTGTCCGACTCATCTTCCATTAGCTGTTCCGGTTGCTCGCTTTCCGGTTTGATTGCATTCTTGTTATTGTCCATATATGCGCGATTGAAATTCAAATGATCTGGACGCACTGCATCCGTTATATACTTACTAAAATCCATTATCAATGTAGGCGTGTCAGTACAATTACAACAACAATAATGATGATCTTTAGCGTATTATTGGTATGGATTATTCTCAATTAGAGATCATTGGTGCAATCTACGCTGATACGTACACTGGAAAACTGTACAACACTAAGGCGTATAAGAAGTGTACATACGTGTTCTCATGCTTATATATATTAAAAGTGAATATATTTACATGCAAGAGTTGGATATTACGTAAATCAAATTTTTGCAAAATTTGGGTTTTAAAGTTTTTGTGTAAACACACTCACACTCCATAAAAAGGCGCCACTGCACGAGAATATTTTTGGCTGATTGTCGTTGGTGGAAACAGAGGTGGAGTTGGTGGGTTTGATGTTGCCGCCGTGCCTCTAGATAACTTGGTGCTACATCTAAACGGAGTAAGGTGCAGTGCGTGCAACGTCATTCTCTGCCCTCAGGCGGCGTATCCAGCCTTCAGTTTGGAGTCATTGCAAAAGAGAGAGATACAAATTGTTGGTCGTGCGTGCAATTGCATACTGGCTATGTTCTGACAAAGTGAAGTATTTATAGTGTTACGATGGCAGTGTTTGGGTGTAGCAGGCGGCGTTAGCTTAGCCCCTTCAGTGTACGTATCAAGTTTCAAGCGTGGGTGCACGAATATGAATTCATTTCTGACTGAACGAGCGTTAGCACTTACGATTTTACATTATACAAGCCCTGGCGCTTGATGTAATTAAGTACCATATCATCTAAAAGATACTTCACGGATTCTCCGCGACTTAGAAGACGACGAACGAGAGAAGAGCTCACTTCATTGGGCACCCAGTTGGTAATAAGCGTTATGTTTTGCTACAAATGAAATGTTCCTTAAAACATTCCGCGATACTACTTTATATACTTACCTGGTACTTTGTTAGAATATCCGAATCGAATATGAACTTTTCAGGATTAGAGCCACAACGGGTTATGACGACCAATCCATGGTTAGCGACAATTTCTTCAATCTAATACAAAATATTGTTAACCCGGACCTAGGTTAGCTATGTCATTATTGTCTTACATCCTCATCGGCCCACAAGCCGGGCACAGCAAAAGATTCTAATAAATCAGCTCCGCATAGCAGTTTGAGACGAATGGGATCCCGTCGTTCACGCAATCCCGGTGGCAACCAGCCAGGTAGCAGCTCATTTGGCTCCTCATCGTATGGCGAATTGATGTAGTTGTTCAAATAGTTCTGATGATAATGCAGCACCGCTTTTGTGCGCATCCATTGTGGCTGATGTACCTCCCAATCGGACAAGCGTATCCAATTTGAGGATTGAGCAGCCAGCTTTATCATGGCGCAGCGATCCAATGCTGGAGCCAGTCCTTTCTTGCCATATGAGTCATGTGTGGGTGATATTATACCGCCAACAACTTTATGCGTGCCACGAAGCTCAAAATAATCTCGTGCTATCTCTGTTTAAATTAGGATAAAATGTCAATGTCAATGTCAATATCGATTATCACCGGGCTCTCGTAAACAAAATGCTTACCGAACAAACGCATATGCATTGGCGTTGGTGGACTGAAGCATCCACATGCTATGAGCGCCACGCGGGGCAACATAAAGGATTTTTCCTCAATAAATCCGGACATTTGCCTAAATTATTGCCTGGGCTCACCAGAAATTTTATTTTTATTTAATTTCAATCTCTGTCGTAAGTAATTTCGCCATCTGTTTAGGCCGCACCACAACCTCTATAATTCGCCGCGACAGCCGATATAAATAATGCAGAGCTGCCAACCTGTCCAAAATACAACAATTTGGCACGTATTCGATAAGTTTCAGAACTAAGAGTGCATGCTATCGACTATAAAATTAAATATGGCGTCGTCGTGCTAAACTGCCTTTAGCTCTGGCTCTTTGAAAACCTTTTTGTAATAACATTTATCATATTTATTCGTATACGTTGTGCAGTATAAAAAATTAAAACGGGCGTGTGCTGTTTTTACAATCTGGTGCAACGCGCCAACATAATCTTAGTATTTTAAGTTAGAGAAGACAAAGTGCCGAGTGCAAAAACAACTGAGAGAGGAAACGACGTCGACAAAATGAAAATGCATTTGTGAATTTTCGCCCCAACACTTGACTCAACATACAGACATTGACACACACGCACATTAGACCAACGAACCTCAGCAAAGGATAGGCAAAGGAAAAAGGCCAACATAAGTCAAAACGAAGGCCTTGGATACGAACTCGTTGCAGAAGAAACAACAAACGACTTAAACAGAACTCAATGGCTCTAGTGACAGTGCAGCGTTCACCAAGTGTGGCGGGCTCAKGCTCGAATTCGGTGAGTTGCACATACATGTATACATATATAAATAAAATTGTATGTATATAAATATATGTGAGCGTATGTGTGCAGTTAATGTGAAGTAGGAAGTGGGAGCAACGGGCGGCCTGCGAAATATTTGAGTTGCCCCATTTCTATGTAAGGTGCAATTTTACAGCTGCAACCAGCTACGCATTTGTTTGATTGTGTGTACGCGCGCGTATGTGTGTGTGTTGTAATCAAGCACTCACCCGCTCACTTGCTTCGTCGCTCTCGACCTCATGCTCTCTCACATTCGCTCACTCTCTATGATTTTGCTTTGTTTTGGTTACGCGTTGTTAATGGAGCTTATTTAAGTTCAGGGGGTTTTACGTCTGTGTTCTTTAGCCACCGCCTATAAACGCTTCCTGTGCGTGTTCCGTGCTAGTCAGTGATCCTTTTGTTGTGTATACATACGTGTGACGGACGAGCAGCCCATATGGCCAATTTAGTTTAATTCGAATATCATGCAAAGGCTCTCTCCACTGCCGTCGCTCCATGCGCTACTCTCTTAGCGTTTCTGTTGTGGGCGTTTTGTCAGCGTCATCAGCGTCATCATCATCAGTCGCGCCACGATTCGCGCATCTGTTTGTTGTTTGCTGTGATAGTTGTTGTTTTTGTTTTTATATTAATACCCTGTACACAGTGCAAAAGGTTAAAATGTAAATATCTACGGCAAAGCGAAGGAGTCATCGATAGAGATTATTTATATACTTCAATATAGAAATTATTTCTTAGTTTGTTAATGATTCAATGGTTGATTTATAAAGTAACAAATAAAACCATTGTATAGATTATCAGCTGTGGTGCTTTACTAAAACCGTATCTATATCTGGTATAGTTATTATCTCACTTTAGAATTTACTGTTATTATCGCAATGTTTGTTTTGGCATAACAACGGCAATAGGGTATAGGGTATTCACTTATCGACCATTCTCGATAGCCCACATCTTGTTCTTTTTATTTATTGTTGTAACTGAAGCAAATCCGAGCAGACCTCGCGACGTCGCAGCTGCCACACTATGTCGCCTCATCGCGCGCTCTCTTCCATTTTCAATAAATTGAAAATTTTGCATTGCCTTATTTGTAGTTTTGTCAACGTCGCTCTGTGATTTTTCTGGCTGGTTCCGTTAGCGCGCCAACGAAAACGTCCTCGCCCCCACCCAAAAAAAAAACAAAAACAAAAACAAAAACAACAACAAATAGTTCTCAAGACCTTGGATACGGCCTGCCCTTGGAATTTGTATTTATTAGACAATATTGTAAACATAAGCTTCCCACCATGTAGGTGGCGACGCACACTCGCTCGGTTGCTCGCTCTCTCGTCTGCTTCTCTTTTGATTTGCAAAGCAATTCATCATCAAGTTTGTTTGGTTACGAATTTCACTCAACTCCAAAAATGTCACAATCAGATATTATATTTTGTATACACCGTTGGGTGAGTCTGAGTCACTCTTTACAGCAGCCGCGATTCGCGGAAGAAAAAGAAATTGACTGAGGAAATAAACATAAACTAAACGTTTGGAATATCGTTTACAGGATGGCGAGGCCGAGGACGAAGAGGGTAACAACAAAAGCGAAAGGAGCGAATGTTATTTTGCTGGCAAGGGCACCGCTCTGGTGCTAGCACTCAAAGACATACCCCAGCATGCAGAGCGACGTCTTAGCACAGACTCCACACGGTCCACCAATAGTACGCAAAGCAATAACTCGGACATACAGCTGCATTTAAAATCAATGTTTTACTTACTGGAACGTGAGGACACATTGAAAATGGTATGGCACAAAAAATATCAATTCATTATACAATCAATTGCTCACAAAGTACTTATCATTGCAGGCTGTCAAACTGGAGTCGCAGCGTCCGAATCGGACACGCTACCTTGTGATCGCCTCGCGCAACTGTTGCCGCACGGCGGCGAGCAGTGAGCGACGCTCCAAAATCATGCGTCACAATTCTGTTAAGTCGACGACAGCGCCGCCTGGGACACCTGTTGCGCAACGCCAGCTATCCGTGGATAGCCACAAAACGCAGCAACTTGTCCAAGATGAAGCGGCAAAGCGTTTATCAGGTAACGCCGCCAATCGTCAAAGCCTAAAATGTGATGTGGATGGTCGGGAAACGGCAACTGCTGGTGGCGCCGGCGACAGCAACAAGAATACCCCAGGCATGGAGGAATCCTGCCTGCTGGGCATTGATTGCAACGAGAGCACGACCATCGGCCTAGTCGTGCCCATACTCGCGGATACAACCATTCACCTGGATGGCGACGGGTGGGTGTCGAATAGTGGCATTCAGTTTAATCATTGTAATTAATTGAATTCAATTTTTGCAGCGGCTTTAGTGTCGCCGTCTACGAGAAGACCCACATATTCAAGCCCGTATCGGTGCAAGCTATGTGGTAAGTACATTTTTTTAAATGCGCAGATCTTCCATTGACATATGGCTTACTGCTTGCTTTTATAGGTCAGCGCTGCAAACGCTGCACAAAGTGTCTCGAAAGGCTCGTGAAAACAACTTCTATCCAAGCGGACCATCCCACGATTGGTTATCCATATACGAAAGTCGCATTGAGTCAGATCAGTCGTGTTTAAATGAATGGAATGCCATGGATGCGCTCGAGAGCCGACGCCCGCCCTCACCAGATGCCATAAGAAACAAGTAGGAAATTGTTGCTAGCTGACAATGCCGATCAATATATAAGACAATATTTCATATATTTATGTCTATCTGTTCGGTTTGCAGACCAACCGCCAAGGAGGAAACTGAAAGTGTCATTAAAATGAAGCTCAAAGCAATCATGATGTCAGTAGATTTGGACGAAGTAACCTCCAAGTATATACGCGGTCGCCTAGAAGATTTATTAGATATGGATCTAGGCGAATACAAATCGTTTATAGACGCTGAAATGCTGCGTATATTGGGCCAAATGGATGCGCCTACAGAAATATTTGACCACGTCTATTTGGGCTCGGAATGGAATGCAAGCAATTTGGAGGAGCTGCAAAAGAATGGGTAATTACATTAAGTAAACCGAATCATTTATATATCTATTCAACTTCTCTTTCATGCAGTGTTCGACACATTATAAATGTTACGCGGGAGATTGATAACTTCTTTCCGGCCACCTTTGATTATTTCAATGTGCGCGTTTACGATGATGAGAAGACAAATCTCCTCAAATACTGGGATGACACATTTCGGTACATCACGCGCGCCAAGGCCGAAGGCTCTAAGGTGCTGGTGCACTGTAAAATGGGCGTAAGTCGGTCTGCTTCTGTGGTCATTGCTTATGCAATGAAGGCATACAAATGGGAGTTCCACCGTGCTCTGGAGCATGTAAAGATGCGTCGCAGCTGCATCAAGCCAAACAAAAATTTTCTTAATCAGCTGGAAACGTACAGCGGCATGCTGGATGCAATGAAGAACAAGGAAAAACTCCAGCGTAGCAAGAGTGAGACCAACTTGAAGAGCACAAAAGATGCACGCCTGCTGCCGGGAAGTGAGCCAACGCCACTCATACAGGCGCTCAATCAGGCCAAATCGAAATCCACAAGCGAGTCGGGCAGTGAGCAACAGGGAGGCAGCGATCATGGTCCTTATCGTCGCAGCAGCGCACAAAAGCAGCGTCGCATGATGCGTCGTTCGAGTAGCACATCGCCGAAAACACAATGTGCCGTAGAGGTGATAAAGCAGCAGAGTCAATCTATGGAGAATTTAACGCCAGAGCGAAGCGTTGCAGAGGAGCCGAAAAATATGCGCTATCCGGGAAGCAATGGTGAGAACTATAGCGTCACCCAGAATCAGGTGTTACACATCCAAAAACATACTCCGCTGTCGGTACGTACACGCGTCCATGATCTCGAGGCTCATCAAGAGCCACCTCGTCGCAGTCTACAGTCGCAGGCTCCAGCCCAAACGCAACCAGCACAGTCACAAGGACCCGTGTGGACTTCACTATCCAAGCTGATTACGCAAACATCGTTTTCGCGTCGCGACTCCGGCTCATCGGATGTGTTTACCACAGCGGTGGGGCAGGTGGATGAGCGTGAGAAGCGTCAACGTCGAAAAACGCAATCCTGGACGGAATCGTTTGGACCTAGCGGTGGCATCATCCTCGATGCACCTCTACAACAGCCCAAAGTGACACCCAGTGCCGTACTTCGCACGCGCGGTCCACGACAGCGCGAACTGCCCTCGCGGCATGCCAGTTGGGGATCGGGCGACAATCGCAGCAGCTTGCCGCTGCGTACAAGTTCCTGCAGCTACTACGACAGCAACCGCAACACCACAGCCATTTTTGAGGGTGAGATTCAGGATCTGAAGCGCAGTAGCAGTAGCACAACCGCGAGCAACTGCAATACCAGCGAATCGCAGCTGGGCACCGTGAAGCGCACCAAGCAGAAGTTGGAGGAAAATACTTCCCTCAAAAAGCGCTGCCAGGAGAACGAGCTGGATGACCTGGATACAGCGACAGCGGCAGGCGAAGCAACAACGGTAGCGGGTGAGAAGAAGTGTGCCAATCTGTTTCGCAGTGTGTCCTCGGCTAGCACCACTCGCCCGCGCCAGCCGTTGCGCTGTAACAGCGAGGAGCTAATGCACACCAGTGATATTGAGAACAAGAACACTGCAGCTGACCTGGTTGTGGTGTTGCGTGCGCACAATGTTGCTGTGTCCGAGGATCAGCGCATTTCGGGCAATGTGCAAATACTCAAGCAGAACTTTGAAGCCAAAGCGGGCGTGGTGGGTGTGTCGGGCATTGGCAGCACAGCTGCCGGCGCTACGAATGTGACTGCAATCGTTCCAAGCAAGAAGGCGACACATCAATCACTGCCCTCATCACCGGTTGCACAGCATGCCGATCATGTGTTGGTTGACAATGTGGTTGCAATTGCATCAGCGGCCAAGTCCTCATCGAGCACATCGGCCAACTCATCCAACTCCAGCGTAAGCGAATCTTGTGATCGTAATGTAAAAGGTCTAGTGCATAAATATCAAACCACTTCCTGTAGTAACAATCCTGTTGCGGCAACGCCGATAGCCACAATACTGCCGCCACCCACCAACAACACAACAGCATCCACTACCAACACCACCATCACCACCGCCTCCGCCGCCAATACAGCAGCAAGCTCAGCCATCAACAGCACCATAAGCGTCACTAGCTTCAGGCAACGCCCGCGCTCCTACTACGATCGATCGCTGTCAAACAGAGCACACGATTACAGTGAGAACCGACCGCCGCCCGCACCTGCCCGACACATTGCCAGCAACCTAAATCAGCTACAACTGCAGCAGCACAACACCATAACTCACCTGCAACAATCTGAACAGCAGCAGCAGCAGCAAGTGCAGCATCGTCGTCTAGCGCAGCATGGAAAGACCCATCCACTCACTAGGCTAAGTTTACCAAAGCAAAGCTTCAACACCGCTGCATACAATACCATGTAAAGGAATGATCTTTCTTACTAGACACACATACACACACACACACTCAGTCTCACAAACACACGTCTACACAAAACTCGTAATAATAACTAAGCAGGCCTATAAAGCACTTCATTATTTTTGCTTTTCAGCTCGACACTTGCCTATTACTCTGTATTTATTTTATGTATTTTTCGCTTTTATTCATCATTGTTGTTACGTTGCCTTACATATGTCTCTCTCTCACCGCATCCCTCCCCTCCGCCTCCTTCTCGTCCACAATCAATCAGTGTCTATTCATATAAATCTATAAAGCACTATGCGATATGCCTTAAAATTGTTTGTTTATTTGTAAAGCATTTGTTTCAGCAATCCTTAAAACAGTCCACCCATCCATCCATCTCAACATCCAATTTCTAAATGTTTTGTGAAAAGTGCCGTCAGGGACTAAAAAAAAAAAAAAAAAAAAAAAAAAAAAAAAAAAAGAAAGAGCGAGATAGAGGAAATGAAACTGTATTTTGTATTTTAAATTACTTGTAACTATATACATATATTTATTTTATATTATGCAAGAACTGCCTACGAATAAATGATTTATTGTATATATTCGAATATATATATATGTATATATACGAATATACATATATGTACATACATAATATATATATAGAGATGTGTATATACATATTTATATGTGTACACATAAGTATGCATTTCATGTGGTGATTTGTGTGTTGTTCATCCGTTCGTTCGTTTCCGACTCCACCTGTGCCCCGTTTCGTCGATAAGCTGACTCAGCTGACATTATGTTTGTCTATTTGGAAGCGCGCGCGTGTGTGTGTGTGTGTCGTCCAATGAACTTTGCCATCAGCTTTTACGACCAAGTTTGTATTTGCAGCCTTTACCGCATGATAGCCACGTTTCGCTACTCCTGGGCCGAGTGCAAGAAGTGAGCCACCGAACCTTGATGAGACACCCCACCTATATTTTATTATCAATGTGCTACCCAYGAAACACAAATTTAATTAATTAACTTATAAAATTTGATATGTTATATTCGATACCAATATTAATATATTTATTGTATTGCCACCAAGCAGGGTGACTCATTATCTTACTCTGTATGTGGGAGTGTGCGACAGCCGCATGCAGTTACAAGAGGGCAGTTGCAAAAGCCAACTTTCAATTAATCAACGAGCCTACGGCACATATAAGCTAAAGTGCTTAAACTTTTTTTTTTTTTTTTTTTTGTAATATTACACAGGTCTGCTTAGCGTCACCGCTCACTGACGTTAAAAAATAATTGGACAAATGGCAGCTTTCAATTATCTTGAACAGTCACATTTCGTTATAATACTTATTTTCACAAAAAGAAAAAAGAAATCATTTTTAAATTGTCGCGGGTCTTGTGATACGTTATCTGTATGTAGTATTTTTTTGAGCAGTTGGCAGCGCTAGTTGGAGTATTTAATGAAAAAAAGAAGGAAAAAGTGAAAAGAATATAATGCCATAATTAGGCTTAAAATATTCTGCTTACATAGTAAGCGTGTTTTTAATATAAAAAAAAGTATTTTTTATTTTTATTTATTGACAACCAATAAAATGCATATCGTGGAAATACCACCACTTTGCAGTTGTTAGAGTCGGTCACACCATAAAATACTCACACAACACCGCAACACACATACGCCTATGCACACGCACACAAATGCGCACTTGACTTCCACAGTTTCTTTATTTTGTGCAGAAAAAAGTACTTAGTATTGCCGCTAAGCGAACGAAATTCATTGTGTACGCGATTACGAATACTGCAAAAGTGTACTTTATAATGCTAGCAGCTGCTTAAAACAGCAGCTAATTAAAGTTATTGTTACGGACTTGAATTTGGAGTTGTTGTCATACCCAGCCCCCCCATTACGATTGTACGTGGCGTTTGCGAAACCGAATCTGAGTCTGAATCGGTCAACAAGCGGTCGAGGTCGTAAGCAAGCAAGTGCTAATAGATTTTTATTGTCACGGTGGGCACGGCCACGACTTCGGGGCAGACCGATTGCTAGCATGGCGGACGCTGCGGCAAAGCCTGCCGCCGAAAAGGGCGGAGGCGATCCCGAAATGAAGGGATGGCTTTTAAAGTGGACAAACTATATCAAAGGCTACCAACGTCGCTGGTTTGTTCTGTCGAAGGGTGTCCTAAGCTATTATCGAAACCAATCAGAGATCAATCACACTTGCCGTGGCACAATATCGCTCCATGGAGCGCTCATCCACACCGTGGACTCCTGCACATTTGTCATCTCGAACGGTGGCACACAAACCTTCCACATTAAGGCAGCCAACGAGGTGGAGCGGCAATCTTGGGTTACATCGTTGGAGCTGGCCAAAGCCAAAGCTATTCGTGCTATTGAAAGTGAAGAGGAGGAGGAAGAGGAGACGGCACAGGTGGTGCCCAGCCAAGAGATCAGCACTGTTGTGCGCGATCTAACCGAACGTCTGGAAAATATGCGTACCTGCTACGACCTAATTACGAAGCATGGTGCAGCACTCCAGCGTGCTTTAAATGATCTAGAATCTAATGAAGAGGAATCTCTGGCCAGTCGCACAAAGATTGTCAATGAACGGGCCACGCTATTTAGGATTACATCAAATGCAATGATAAATGCTGGCAACGACTATTTGCGCTCAGCTGAATCACAAGGCCATAAATGGTCCAAAATGCTGCACCACGAGCGTGAGCAGCGCCAGCGACTGGAGGAGATCATCGAGCAGATGGCCAAGCAGCAATCTCAAATGGAACAAGCTGCCGTATTCGTACGCCGGAATAAGCCGCTGCCAATGTCATCGTCAAGCACAATGGTGTGCATGACTCCTGGAGCTCCTGGCACAAACTTGACTTCCGACGATGAAACTGAGTTCTATGACGCCGAGGAATATGGCTATGATCGAACAGGCGACTCGCCCATAGACAGCACATTCATACTGAAGCTTAACAAGCGGCGTAGCAGCTCCGAGGATCAAGTTGGCTCCGAGGGCCATACAGGCAGCTCTTCGGAAAGCGACGAGCAAAGACGAACCATCCAGACCGTGCAGCAGGTGTGTCTCATTAGCGCCGCACGCGTTGCCTCCGGCGGCGATGACAACAATGGAGACAAGGTCGATGAAGCTTCGAAATCACAAACAGATCTTGTGAGAAGGGCATCAACTAACAGAGCTAGCAAATCAGGCAATAAGGTGGTCAGTCGACGCACGCGAGTCCCGGATAAGCCAAATCACTCGGTTAACCTGTGGTCCATCATGAAGAACTGCATTGGCAAGGATCTGTCCAAAATACCCATGCCCATCAATTTCAATGAGCCGCTCTCCATGCTGCAACGCTTGGCGGAGGACTATGAGTATTGCGAAGTGCTGGATCATGCAGCTACGCTAACAGACGAATCAGAGCAGCTGGCCTATTTGGCGGCATTTGCTGTTTCCACATATGCGACAACCGCGGTGCGTACGGGCAAACCGTTTAACCCATTGCTAGGTGAGACTTACGAGTGCGATCGCATGGATGATCTGGGCTTTCGCTATCTGGCTGAACAGGTGTCGCATCATCCGCCAATAGCCGCTCTTCACTGCGAGGGTAAGCAATGGGTTTGTTGGCAAGAATTTTCCATGACGAGCAAATTCCGTGGCAAGTATTTGCAGGTAAGAAAGCTGAGATTTTCCTTTGTTGTCTTGAAAGCTTTAACTCATTCACTTCTTGCTCAGGTGAATCCTCTGGGCGGGGCGTACATTTTGTTCCCCAAAAGTGGACATCGCTACTCCTGGCGCAAAGTGACAACAACTGTGAACAACATAATCGTTGGAAAGATCTGGGTGGATCAGCATGGAACGATGGAAATAGTGGGCTCCAATGCAGCGCATGGAAACAAGTGCATCCTGAACTATAAGCCTTATTCCTACTTCAGTCGTGAGGTGCAGCGCAGCGTGAAGGGCGTGGTTATCAATCGCAATAATGAAGCTAAATGGGTGGTGCGCGGGACGTGGGATGATAAAATCGAAATAGCGCCAGTGCTGGAAACGAGTGGCACTGCGGACAATCCAACATACACCACAGGCGAATACAAGGTGGCATGGCAATGTCGCCCACCTCCACCGGACTCAGAAAAGTATTATAACTTCACCACGCTTGCCTGTCAGCTGAATGAGCCGGAGGATGGCGTAGCGCCAACGGATTCTCGTAATCGACCCGATCAGCGTCTCATGGAGGAGGGTAGGTGGGATGAGAGCAACAAGGAGAAAGTGCGCCTCGAAGACAAACAGCGAACGGTGCGAAGAGCACGTGAAGCCGAGGCCGAGAAAGCAGCGGCCGAGGGACGGCCATACCCCGTGTACGAGCCGATGTGGTTCAAGCGCGAGAAGGTGGAGGGTAGCGATGAATTTGTGCACGTCACGAAAAACACATATTGGGCGGCTAAAGCGGCCCAGAATTGGAACGGCTGTCCAGATATCTATTAAGAAACAAACGCCGCACTCTTATGTGAATTAATTGAATATGCAAGCCTCGAAACTCCGCTGTCAACCACTAATAACAAAGAGCCACTCCTCGAGAGGATCAATAACTTACAGAACTATAAAGCTAATCGATGTAATAACATTTTTTCACTACTTAGTGCATATATAAATTAATTACTGTAAAGTAGCTGCGAATGTTGATACTGATACTGAAATGATTTTATTGCGAGCTCAATCTCAAGTTCGCATCGCATTGATTGCGATTATCAAAATTGTTTTCCCTTGCTCGGGTTTTATTTTAATCTTTGCTTTAATCAGTTAAATACTTATGGCACATAGACCTTACCATCCATTAAAACATACACACATATATATATATACATATATA